CGGTGTTTGTGAACGATTGTACCAGGCGCCAGGTACAGTGGCCTTTGCCGACTTATTGTTGGAAAAGTTCATTCGTGATTTACATTGATTATCTTGCTACACCCATTGAATTGCCAGGTAGCATGATAGAAAAACTCACCGTTTTTTCTTGGAGAGGAAAATTGCCCCACTTCTGATTGCCGCCATTCCATTGTTCGGAAGCTTTGAGATTTTATGTATAGTTTTGAAAGAAATTGTTGATGTCGCATCAAATACCTTATCATTTATGGCAAACAATTATGATGGAAATCAATTCTCATTTTCATGCGAAGTGTCCAAAGCTATGAACTATTTTGCCTGTTCTGACGATTAACTGATGAGAGGTTAGTCTGAAAAGTTTCTGAACTAACAAAGATACAAGACATTTTGCAGGTGTAGGCCAAGACTCGCTGAACACACACTCTCTTATTGACGGACAATCGCATAAGGCATACTTGAGAGTTTCATCTTCCTGGTCACATATCATTCAACCGATCCAGGGTTACTCGTCGTCTCCTACAATCGGCCATCCTGCAAAAGGTCTGTCCTCAGACCTTATTCTAACCTGAGAACAAAAAAAATAATGGAAAAATTCAATAGAGCAACGTTTACTCAATGGTGATGTTCACCAAAGGTAACTTTTACCTTATTTACTTACAGAGTAACGTTAGGTCAATGGTGACGTTCATCAAAGGTAACGTTTACCTTTTTTTACTTAGAGAACAACGTTTGCTCAATGGTGACGTTCACCAAAGGTAACGTTTACCTTTTTTTACTCACAGAGCAACGTTTGCTCAATGGTGACGTTCACCAAAGGTAACGTTTACCTTTTCTACTTACAAAGCAACGTTTTCTCGATGCTGACGTAGTTGCTCTGACGTTAAAAAGGTAAACGTTACCAAAGGTACCAAAGGTAACGTTTACCTTTTCTACTCACAGAGCAACGTTTTCTCAATGGTGACGTTCACCAAAGGTAACGTTTACCTTCTTTACTTACAGAACAACGTTACCAAAGGTAACGTTAATCTTTTCTACTTACAGAGCAATGTTTGCTCAATGGTGACGTTCACCAAAGGTAACGTTTACCTTTTCTACATACAGAGCAACGTTTGCTCAACTTACTTTTGTTCGCCTTGTATACTTATCCATTTCTTTAGATGATCTGGAGACATAACTGTTCTTGAGCGTCTATAACCTTCTCTGAGATCTTCCACTTCCTGACAATTGTGAGCTACATGTCCTAAACGTTTACAATAAGAACACACAATACGAGGTTTTCTACAATTTTTAGCTATATGTCCCGAAATACCACAATTGAAACAAGTTAAACCTCCTTTGGAATTTTTCCTGTTTTGAGCTTGATGAACAGGACGACTATTAAATGAAGGAGTTCGGTAACTAGCACTAGGGACTGTGATTTGAGATGGCATATCTTCCATGGTATTCAAGTAGGCATATAACAAATTAGCATCAGTATACTGGGCTGATCTAACAGTACGAGCTAAATTTTCATCTGTTATACCACTTACTACAGCATCGACTAAATATTCTTGAGGAAATGTCAAATTGAGTGCTTTTGATTTTGACAACTTTTAAAAACAATAGTCGCCTAAGTTTTGACATGGTTTTGTTTCATAATCAGCAGCACTCTTTAGCAAATTAGAAAATGGAACAGACTTACGGAATTAAAGTTCCATTAAACGTTTTACTTCTTTCCAACTTGCGTCATATTTGGCATTTTCGTCGAACCACTGCCGTGCGTTGCCTCTCAACCCCCTCGATATCAGCCGTATTATTGAATCATCATCTCAACCATATCTTGCAGCCAGATAATCGACTCTACTAAGCCATTGTTCCACCACTGAGTCATCTTGAGACGGATCGAACAAAGGAACCAGAAACTCGTCACCAGTTTGATGAGTGTACTTAACCTGCCTTTGTTTCAATCTCTTCAATTCAGATTTCAATCTTTTCAATTCCCATTTTGTGGAACCATCACTATCACTACTGGCACTACTTGAGGAAATACACCGTGAAACTGATTTTTTCTTGTCTTTACGTTTTTCCACCTATTTTCACTTACGTTTATCGTGTTCCAAGCTCTTGTGGCCTCGTTCAAATTCAGCTGCCCAAACTGTCACTGGTAAATGATGGTGTAGAGTCCCCTTTCACAGAATCCAACTCATCTTTGATTTGCTTGGTCGTATTGCCTTTCAAAAACGAGTATTCAATGACAGCTCAATTTCTGTTTTCCCCTTCCTTGAGAAAATAGACAACAGATATGATTTTGTGAAGCTAAATACTCAATGGTGGCAGTCAATGTCCTGAATTTCAAATCGGTTCAAAGTAAAAAGAAATAAGAAACCTTCAAACATTTTTGATTGTTTTTTTTCAGTCAGCCGGACCCGACACCACAAAACCTATAACGAAACGGGTTGGTGAACTTCCTTTGCTGCCAAATGGAAAAATCAGTTGCAGGGCGAGTGGCAAGAGGCCATTGAGGGTTAATGCGAACTATCACATGGATACGGTTCCCAGACGATCTCCTAGAAAATCAAACAGCACTTCTGATGGGAGTACAAATACGTATTCTCGGGCGGTGAGTTCTCATTGCAACGTTTTATTTTATTTAAGAATGGAGTCGTATTCGAATAATGTGAGCTACAAAATTTTCTGTTTAAAATAAACCCAACCACCTCATTTTCTTACATCATATGAAATAATAGAAGAAAGGACGATGTATTATCTGGAACGTTCACAAGGAAACTCATTGAAGTTACAGACAAATGTAAAAATACATAACTAACAATTTTTTCTAAAGCAAATGAAGTTCAAACGTTCAAGCCAGTCTCTATATACCTACACAATTGCACCACCAACACACACAAACCACCTACACATTTGCTAAACGAATTGCATATGCAGGAAATTTTCTGTGAAGATTCCTGCACTGACGCCTGTCGGATATAATCCAACGCCCTTCGTGGTATTAGCCAGGGGAGTAGTTGTTTTCGGATAGGCGTCAGTCCATTAAACCTACTGTGTAGGTATATAGAGACTAGCTTGAAGGTTCGAAGTTCCGTTTGCTTTAGATTTGTTCAATGCCAGTTTTCAAGCATAGCCTACTGACTAATAAGTAACAATTTTTTGTTGATATTTGACCAACTGGTGAAACAAAGCCATTATAAGTAAACAAAACTAGCAAGACAAAAAGTCTTTGGTACAATAACAACTCATACGAGCCAAGTCTTTGTTAGAAGTTTTTAATCGTTTTCTTATCCAAAGTTTTATTTGATCTACAATTATAATCTAAGTAAATTTTCGAAAGATTAAATTTACTCGGAAAAATATTGAATTCTACGAATGAACTGTATCAAATACCAATTGAAAAGTCAACAAATCAGTTGTTTTGATACTTGTTCATAAGAATTTATGTGTGAAACAAAATATGTATCATTTGTGTCATTTTAAAACGATAATGATTTTTTTCGGGGATGAAAAGAGAACACATGAATTTGTTTCGATAATTTTGAGATGGGAATTGAAGAATTTTGGGAAATGATGGCGGATATTTGTAATCCTGATAACAATTTGTCAAATCAGTACAATTCTGATCATTCACAATTCTACTGCAAATCAAGAGCCATCGGTAAACAACTGTTTCGACTGTTGGGCATCATCAGTACCGGGCAGGCGACCCTCGATTGAACACAAACCGTAGTGGAAAGTCATCTTCAGTTCAATCAGATTGGAGTGCAGCTCCCTTACCCTTTCAGCTGATTAACAAACCGTAGAAAATCAAGCAGAATACTTGGTAAAAGTTACTGCGTAAATGCAAGCGAGACATTAGTGGAGCCACCTATTGGCGTGACGCGAAATAACAATACAGCTTCATTTTGCGTATAATCAATAGTTCTGTGGTCATTTCGAAGAAAAAGCCGTTATTTGCAAATGACAAAAATGCTTTTTTTGCAGCTTTTTCTCAAAATTGAGCAATTGGAACCATTTAAACTTTTAAAGGATATTACAAGTACAAGTATATGATTATTGTCGATTTGTAATTATGGTAATTATTGGTAATTATGATAGTAAATTGATGGGTGTAGCAGTTACGACATGGTAGGAAATCATAATGAAGAAAAGAGAATTGAAACTCTACCAATTTTATTTGTAACTTGGACCAAAATGATTCCTTCATAACTCATTCAGGTTTTGTGCCAGGTACTTTTATACAGAGTGGAAATTGCGGATTTTTCAAGGTTCCCAAAAAAATTCTCGTGAGTTTTCTTTAAAAAATGCATACGTTTTTGGCAATTTCACGATAAAACCTTCAAAGTTGGCATTTGACGAATGAGAACCACTCTTCAAAAAGTTATTACTCCGTTCGTATTGGATCTACAGACACCATAAACGCATTCTTTTTGTCGTCTTGAGCGTGGATTCATTAGCTGAAATCATCAAACAAAAAATGTGGGAAATTTCCAAAAAAAGGAATAAATAAATCAATGTCAATGAAAATTCCTCACAAAGATGTTAGTTAGACCCTGTACAGAATTTTTTTGCAGATATCTGAAATTTGGTTTGGGAAAGAAGAAAGCCAAAACGGTTTTTCCCCTCAAAAACTGAGCTGTCCAAAAATACTCCATTCTCAATTTAAATTTTTTTAGCAATATTAGAATTTTCGTGTAGATCCCAATTTGTTTTAAAATGAATTGCTTTTACTCACCGACAATGTAGATGGAAGAGTTTTTAATATCGGTAAAGCAGGTGTTAATCTTAACTATTACAATCAAATATAGAAATATACAAAACATTAAATGGTTCTTCTTCATAATTCTATTATAGTTTAGGTTTATGAAATGTATTCACCTTCATTACCTCATGAATTTATTCAGAGTTTCGATCAGCAGCATACCAGAAAATCATTTTTCCAATGATCACACCCCCCTGAAGATCCAGCTGAATCCTCCACTGATTCCTAATCGTCGAACCTCCTTTTGCAGCCTCGCAAAGTACGCTTCGCCCTTCCGCCTACAGATGGCTCCTCTAACACCAACGGCGTCGTCGGCGACTCCAAATCAACGCGACCATCAGCGGGAGAGGAACGCTGTCGACCATGCGGTGCCTTCAGCAGTTTCAGTTCGCGTCCTGAAAGCAACGGGAGGCATTTTACGTGTGCTGAAGCGCGAGTTCCGGATTTCGCGGCGATACTGACTCAAGGCACGAGTGTTTTGGTTACCTCTTCGCCAGGAGTAAGGAACAGGGTTTATCCGACTGGAAGGTAGGTTTTCAGAATGATTTTTTATCCAATTCGTCAGTTTTCAGTCATGAAATTTAGTTTTTGTACGAGCAACAAGTGGAAAAAAACTGTTTTTGTTACCCGGATTAATTTGGAAAGACATATTTGAAATTTAGGATGGATGAACACCGTTAATGAAAATTGAAATCGAACTTTGAAAGATATTCACATTTTGAAAATGATTTTGACATGGCCAGTCTTCCAAAATTGGAAAAACAGAAAACTTCAAATTGAGATCAGCTGGAAACGATTATTTCAAAAATTTAATTAACAAATATTACTATACTCGTTTCTAAACATCCTGAGAATTTGTGTCTGATTTAACAAACGACTATTATAGTTAATAAACAAAATACTTTCCGAAATAGTCTACGCAAAAGCGATTCGAGATGTTTTTTCTATTGATAAGCTACATAATCAAAATCAAAATTATAGAGCTTTAACGTATTTTCCACAAACAATGGAAAAAGTGGCTTAATTTTTTAGGAAACGAGATATTAAAATTGCATATAGAACAAGTATTACGTTGGGAAAGTTAGTTGAAAATAGTAAAGACAAAATATCATAATTCAAGAAATCAGGGGTATACAAATTGAAGTTTGGAACGTGTCCTGAGGTATACATTGGTCAAACTGGCAGAACATTTAGGAATCGAATCCAGGAACATCATATAAGCTATGTTAATAAGAAAACAAGTTCAACATATTCAAATCATCTTTTAGAAGAAAATCATATCTTCAACGAAGAGATACCTCAGGTATTTAAGAATTGTACAGGTTTAGGTAATTTGCTGGAGGTAGTCCCAATTGTGGTTACCTGTGGTATATAAATATTGGCGTCAGAAGCAACTTGTAGTTGCTTCTTACTTGAAAAAGTTACTGTGTTAGCGGAACATGTCGTGATACATTTTTTCAAATAAAGTTTGTGGAGATAAAATCATCAGGGGTAGTTTATGAAAATAAAAACATTCAGAAAAATTTAATAATTAATAAATATGATGGAATGATAGACTTCCCAACAGTATTTGCTAATTTGTTCAATTAAAACTTAGTAATACGATTTATTTTGATTTTCACTATAAAAGGTTCACGAAATCGCGACACGTATTTTATTATGCACTAGCTTTCTCAACCGAAATTTGAATATATATTTTCAAATTGAAACGTTTTACATTCTATGATCTACGGCCCGATCAGATAATTTTAATCTAGTTAAATCTACCTTAAAGAAGCGGATACAATTAGTTTATTAACTAGTGAAAGCAGGTGAACACAGGTAACAAAAAAGGAAACATTCTTATTAAATAGTAAACACACGAAACACGTGTTGGGATTTTGTAAACCTTTTATGCTGAAAATCGAAATAAATCTTATCGATTGAATAGAACTGGCAGATACTTGATGAAAATACGTATTAAAACTAATCAATACAGTTTATTGTATGATTTTCACTATGAAGAGTTTTACAAAAACCGCGACACGTGTTTCGCTATACAACAGCTTCCTCAAGTTTACATTCGAGGAAGCTATTGTATAGCGAAACACCTGTGTCGCGATTATTGTAAAACCTTTTATAGTGAAAATCATACAATAAACTTTATTAATTAGTTTTAAATCTTATTGGTAAGTTTTCATATAGACTTCCATCCAGTTTCATTCAAAAATTATTCAATTATTATTTTAGGAATTCTCCTAAATATAGGATGTTTTCCATAGAGGAAACAGAACGTATTTTTCCATTTGAAAATGGCTTTGAATTAGGGCAGTTGCTTTTAGGATGATCTAAAAGTTTCCGACCTAACAATTCTACAAGACATTTCTTCAGATTCACAAAATTTTTAGATGAAGGAACAGAAATAAGTCGTTTGGGGCTAGATCTGGTCAGTGAGGCGGATGGTCAAGCAGTTACAATTGTAATTTGTGGATTTTTGCTGTGGCAACCGCTGAGGTGTTGTTGTCTTGATGAAACACTGTTTGGACTGTATTTTTGTTTCGGGCGTATAATGGTATATCCAAGTTTCATCAACAGTAATTCATCGGCGCCAAAACTCGGACTTATTGCGCATAAACTGCGCCAATAGGGCGTTCGAAATGTTTATTTGAAGACGTTTTGGTATAACTTGAGCAAACGCGACACCCAATACGCCAACATAATAATAATGATGATGATATATTTATTCACTGGAACAAATGACAGAATTAATTAAATAATACATAATAATTTGACTAGGTAGGTGAATGGTTATGACAATATTTTTTGTACATAATTTACATGGTATTATATCATTAAATGAAATATAAATGAACAAATATGAGCGATAATCCACAAAACACACGCTTGTCGTGGAACAATGAAAGAAACTGATGATGGAAAATGATAAAAGACAAAGGTGTTTATGTGTTGATGAAAAGAAAAATCAACGTACACTCATACATAGATATAAGTATAAGTCAGTCTATAATGAAAACAAGGCCTCTGAAGAACAGTCTTTTGGTCCTATTGTATTATTTCAGAAATTATTCTTTATATGGATCAGTTGATGGGTGAATGATCTAGGAAGGTTTGAAATTCAATTTTTCGGTTCTTTTTTGAATAAGCTCAGCGAGTTGATTGTTTTCAGTTCACTGGGAACTGCATTGTATACTCTGGATTTGAGGAAATATGATGAACGTTTGGATATTGTCCTCATACTTCATGGGCAGCTTCCTCATGTCTGAATGTTGACTAAATATGTTACAAACGCGTTCTTTTGACGTGTTCATAACCTCTGCTAACTCTCTTACATTAATTTGGCGGCCGTCTAGCACCATTTGGTGAACTTTGGCGATGTTTTTGTCGGTAGTTGCAGTTTTTGGATGTCCCAAACATTCATCGTGTCCCAAGCTGGTACGACCACCTTTAAATTCGACTGTCCAAAATTTCACTGTGATAAATGATGGTGCAGAGTTCCCACACACAGAATCCAACTCATCGTTGCCTTTCAAAGACAGCTCAATATTTTATTTTGTCCATTTTCATAAAAACACTAACATCGACTTACTCAGACGACTGTTACATAAAAACCGCGCGACCAAAATGGCTGAAACTTTGATGAGTAACTGTCAACAGATGAACAACGAAATTCACTAGATTTTATTTAAGAGTGCTGCTATTTCAAGTTGGGTTCGGACATTTTTCAAACCACCATAATTTTAGTAAATGGACAAACTGAAATAAAACACCATTTGAGATCGCGGAAAGACAAAAACCCAAGAAAACATCGCTACTCCTCCACGCAGAAACGTCCTTCAAGGAATAGAAACTGGCTCATCTAAGATGTCGCGCAGTTTGATGAACTTTGTCCCGGTACCGTGAAAGGTAACTAGGACATCAGTTCACTATACACGCGTGATTCTGGAAACGGCGCTTCCGCAATTTTCATCTCTTGGGACGCCTCCGGCGAGGCATCCGACCTCAATCGCGTAGAGAAATTACTGAAAGGGCCCTTGTTCGAGACACTCGACGAAAAATCGTTATTTAAATTTAATGGATTGTGGAAATATAGTTGGGAAAGAGTGGCTCGGTGAATTGAATTACCAGCCGAGGGGAGTTGGTATTTTCAAACTTCAAATGCCGCAGACGGGGTCAATTGTCGCTAACACCGAGAATTTTGCGGGTTGATGAGTTTAGAAAATATCAACGCTTTGCCGCAGGAATGAGGAAGTAGATTAGTTCTTGAGGGTGCTTAAAGAATTCTTGTGTCACTGAAATAAACTCTGAGTGGCCCATATACGTAAATTGAAACTATACGATTAGAGTGAGACCAACAAGACAAAAATTTGAGGAATTGCCATTTTTACATATCAACGTCGTTTGTCAAGAGAATTATTAGGTTGTTTCAACAGTTAGGTTAGGTTAGGTTAGGTCGAAAGTGAGTTGGTCTATTCGACCCTCCACCGCAATCCGCAAGGCTTTATTATGGTCTTGCAGGTCAGATGGTAAGCAGACGGCTCTGCTAAACCAGACTCGAGGTTTCTTGTACGCTTCTTCAATGGCCAGCGCTACCAAAACAGCATGAAAAATCAACCAGGCGTTTGGCAATGATAGTATTAATGTTCAATGTTGGTTTGTGAATTTCGTTCCGAAGATTTCCGCCACGAAGGTGAGCCCTATAGTGGTTGCCCTACAGTAATCCAGGACGAGGATTTAAGGACGCTGTTGGAAACTGACCCATCACAAACGGAGCTTAGGATGGCAGAAGAAATGGGCGTCAGCTACCATGTGGTTTTTGATGGTTGAAAACTCGAGGAGTGGGTGCCCCACGATTTGAACGATCGAGGTCTATTCTTCTTTGCTTTGCACAACCAAAACGATTCCTTTTTGAATCGGATCGTCACGTGTGATGAAAAATGGATCCTCTACGAGAACAGAAGAATTTCAGGGCAATGGTGGGATTCCGATGAGTCACCCAGGTATTTTCCAAAGGCTAAAACCTACCAAGAAAAGACCATGGTTACTCTATGGTGGTCAGCGACTGGTGTGATTCATTATAATTTTCACTGGTCAACAGAAGAGGCCCAGACAAGGACAGCCAAAAGGGTGAAGAGTACTCAAATTTGATCGGGACGTCGAAACACTGCGTTCGTAATAAACAAGAAAAACTTTCACGAAGTTGGAAGTGGTCGCCGTTCCGACAAAGTGATAAAACAGACCGTAATGAGACCGTTTGTTCTGTGTGTCATGGGCCGTAAAAGTGCATAATTCAAAAAGCCATTTCCAAGGAAGATAAAGCAAACGGCTTCCGTCCATAAGCTTGCCGATTACATTGAATCCGGCAATGTTCAGCTGATATAGGGTTCGGGTGATATTGGAATTATTTATAGATAGATAAATAGATAAAATTTATTTGTTCAGGATAAAAATACAGTACCCCTGAGGGCACAGAACATGTCAGTATAAATATAAACATATATCACAATAATATTAGGTTAAAAGAGGAAGGAAAGATGTACAGTACATAAAGTACACAAAAAATATATGCATAGGTACATATAAAAATATTGATACATGTAGATAAAGGCTCTTACGAGTCCATGATTGTAGTAAAAGCAGTCAAATAGATCAAATAATAATAGTATCATTTAAATACTCGTCAGTTGCATAGTATGCTTTTTCAAGTAAAAATGCTTTTAATTTTATTTTTAATGTTGTTTTATCGAATTCCCTCACTGCAAGAGGGAGTTTGTTGTAAATTGTTATTAGAGTATGCGGTACGTTTTTTTGAATAAATGAGAAGTTTGGAGTATTACAGGTCAAGTCTGACTTATTTCTTGTAGAGTATATGTGGGTATTTTTAGAGTTCTCAAAAAGTTTGGTGTTTTTCTTAATAAATAGTATAGTATCAAGAATGTACTGGCTGTATAAGGTTGGTATTTTATTTTTTATAAATAAGGGTTTACAACTATCAGTTTGTTTATGGTTAAATATAATTCTAAGGCATCGCTTTTGCATCTTAAATATCTTGGGGACATCTGTCGAAGCACCCCAGAATATTAAACCGTACTTGATCCTTGAGTGATCTTGTTAGTACTCTTAGAGCATAGCAGTATTTTGCAATATTTTGTATTATTGAGGTTAGGTGAGATTTCCAGTCCAATCTAAGATCAAGGTCAATTCCCAAGAACTTTGTACTTTTGCAAGCTGATATTGTTGATCTACCATCTATGGCTGAGTATTCACATGCAGTTGATTGTTGGGAAAACTTTATTACTTGTGTTTTGTTTATATTCAACTTTAAGTGATTATGTGTGAACCAATCTTCCAATGTATTCAGTGCTTCAAACACGCTTCTGTCTAATTCTTCAATACTATGTTCCTTGATCACTACTCTTGTGTCATCTGCAAACTGCACAGTGTTGAAATCAATAGCATTTGCTACCTCATTGGTATACAGAATATATAGCAACGGCCCTAAGATTGATCCTTGCGGAACTCCTCTCAAGATTGTTAATTCATCTGACTGTATGTTTTCGTTAGTGATGTGGCATTTTTCAACAATATCAACAATAATCTTTTAATCATGTGAGGTATTTCGACACATAAAAATAGAGAAATATTCTCCACAGGTATTTGAGAGGCACGCTGTCTCCAACGATTAACGCTCTCCCCCACGCAGCTGCCCCTCCCGGAGGACAAGTTCTTCTTAGGGCGGCTCGCGACGGGGATGAACAGCTTTTGAAGGACCTTCTTCGTAATGGAGCTGATATTGGAATACCAGAAGCTGACTTGAATGCTGTTGATTCTAGTGGCAGGGTGAGTTCACCAAATTATGTACATTTGACGTAAATATAGCATGTCCCATATAAATAATATTCAAACTAATTCCAAGCTCAAAATATATTGTGATGCACTGTTTGGACCTTTGGTGTAGTAATGAATATTACTGGAGTTTTATCTCAACACTAAACTGACGTGAAAACCTGAAAAAGGTAAGTCTCAATCGAATATTCCATCCTGAGTCCATCCTGCTTGGTATCATCGACATTTTGAGTTTAAATACGTAATAGAAGAGTACTTGCTGTAGATTTTCAACAAGAGTTCAGGAGCTGGCTTGATTTTTGACACTGAGCAAGGTGATTAAAATTCAGTTTCATGGTCTACATTAAAGCAACAGGGACCACTTTATTTCTATATTGTATATTGTATATTAATTTATCTATCTTTTAGGTGTACAATTAATTCATACAGACACATTTTACAAATAAGACAAGTCACGGCTATGCAGAGCAAACCGTTTAAAATACATCATGAAATGTCTATATAAATATAGACATACATCAAAGTTAATATCATTAGAAAAGCTAATACAAGCACTAGATCATTGGCATTATATCTAGAGTTGGGCAGCCAAAGTTCTATGTACTGTTTTCGGTTCTCTAGGTAGTACGAAAAAAGAGCTAGTGGCACCCCTCAAACAAGTAAGAGGGATAGTGCCCAAATTGTTGTACAAGCCTTCAGTAATGGTTTTTCCAACGTTTGCAAAATATGAGTTGAACTCTTGAGCCGTGAAATTAGCTAAATGGAATTGAACGATACATGAACTTCGAAAACTACGGCCAACCGCTCAGGATGATGTTTTTAACACCCTCGTCTACGTAGATGAATGTATTGGTCATTGTGATTAGGAAAACTCCATTGCCAGTCCCATCTTTGTTCTACAAGTCGATAGTATCCAAATTGTTCGCTTTGCTTACATTTGCAAGAAAAAACTGGGAATCACATTTCATCTAATATTTTTTGACAAGATATCTCCCTCACGAATAAAATGTGGACTATCTGATTCAATTTCTTTGTTTGTTTCATCAAATATTATTTGTAGAATATTTGGATAGATTGAAGAACCCCAAAGTGGATTTATTGTTTAGATTTTGGACCTGGTGTATTCTCTGTCTCATACAACATAAAGCTGTAGACCGGCTGAAAATAAACCAGCATTAGACTTATCAAACGAGGTTAATCAAAATTCCTCTTTCTACCAGGAAGAAAATGTTAATAGGGTTAAAGTACTGAAAATGATATGGTTTTATGTAATTTTTCCAACTTTTTTAACGAGTCTCGTTCAGAAGTGAGAGGTAGGGGTAGTTTTTACGTCCGCATTATATACAAATACATGTTTGTGTACATTTCTAATTATTCTCGGTACATTCGTTTCTAATTGGCAGCATGGTTGTCATAATTTTATTCATTAATTTGATACAAACCAGGTATCAGAGTTAACGACAATATTCTGCTGTTCAAATGCTTTATTGAATTTGACGGATTTTATTTTGATTGTCAGTGTCACAAATTGGCACACGAATTTATAATTAAACGGTGCGCATTGCACGAGTGGGATAATTTTTTGGCAATTGCTCAGTAGTGAGAGTAAACAAAAATGTTTTCAGTACATACGAAACGGACTATTTTTTATTGGGGTCAACTGAATTTTTTTCTTATGAATAATCTCCCGTTTCATACCCAACTTGTGATGACGGAAGAGGGACTTCAAGTTTCTAAATGAATGTATTTGAATGTATTCGTTTCAATTGAATTTGTGCTCTGACTTCCATTATCAGAATGAATAGATTTCAGCACCGTCGAAGTTTGAGAAATTTACATTAGTGGAAAAGTCGCCAAGGTTATGGAAATTGTTTGTTTTCCGGTCCATAAAAAAGTAAACGTGATTATGGTTTCTCGGAGACGAAACGTAGAGTTGAAAATCTGTGAACGCCATCATAAACAGCTCGAAAAGTGGCAATGAAAAAGTGTTCCTTGTTTTTTGTTATCTCCTCAAATATTCTCAGCACAAAAAGATGCGAAATTTGCGAATTCTTGTTCTGTTCGAATGTCTCCGGAAATAATGGGAATTTTGAAAACTTTTAAACGTTATAAGCTCCGAAATAAGCACCCTCGTATTCATTCATATTACTTTTTATCTCTCATAGTTTACGATTTTGCCAAGATAAGGAGGGTATTTTAATTCAAATCAGAAATAAAGTGTG